GCACACACGCGCGCAGCCCCTGCACGACAGCAAAGACAAAGAGCCGGGGACATTGCGCGCGCACGGGCGTACACACACACACACACGCGCAACGGTGCAAACGGCATGCAGAAATACGTGCACGTGGAGTGTACGTGCACGTGGAGTGTACGTGCACGTGGAGTGTACGTGCACGTGGAGTGTACGTGCACGTGGAGTGTACGTGCACGTGGAGTGTACGACGTGCAAGTGCAGAGATAAAGATGCCCAGTGTAGCCTATAGCAGACTGTTGGGGCAAGTGCTGTTGGTGAGTAGGACCGTACGAAGGCCGACACGGCACACAAGGGAATGGGTGGTCAGCTGACAAAATGATACAAAGATCCCCCGTATAGTCTGAACAGACTGTTGGGGCAAGTGCTGTTAGCGAGCACCTATGAAGACCGGTACAGCACACGCGGTGGTGGGTGGCCAGCACCACGCCCGGCCGCCTTTGTCTCCCCAGTGGCGATGTTTACACACCGCACCAGGTACTCATTTGCGGCTGAATCGACCTCCCCATGCACGATGACACACGCAGAGAGTTACGCACACGGTGACACACGCGCAGTAGCACATAGTCACACACGGTTGGCTACGTACGGTACGAAATAAGTTCAACGTACATACCACACACACGCGCGCGCATAGTAACACACACTGTGATCATACGCGCAGTTACACAGTAACTCAGTCACACAGTAAGACACATTCACACGTGCAGTGATACACAGACACACGCACAGTAACACACACAGACACACGCACAGTAACACACACAGACACAACATCAGGAACACAGGTCAACGCAGTAACACAGACACGCACACACAGTAGCACACACATTAACACACTAACACACGGTTAACGCAGTAACACGGACACGCACACACAGCAACACACGCGGACACACAGTAGCACACCAACACACAGTCAACGCAGTGGTACACACGCGTGCACAGTGACACACACAGACACATGCGCAGTAGCACAGTGTTACATACACGCGTGCACAGTGACACACACAGACGCACGCGCAGTAGCACAGTGACACACACACACGCGTGCACAGTGACACACACAGACACACGCGCAGTAGCACAGTGTTACACACACGCGTGCACAGTGACAACACACAGACACACGCGTCCGCAGAAACAACAAAACAAAGACAGGCGTTCTCTGTGGAGCTCAGCACCACACAGGGTGTGCGTCCAAGTGTTGTTTGCGAGCGCCTATGAAGGGCGGACAGCAACCGCATGGCCAATGCAGCTTAACAGCACCAGTGGCTGGTGGTAACCACACACACACACACGTGCACAGTGACACAGACACACGTGCACAGTGACAGACACACGTGCACAGTGACACACACAGACACACGTGACACAGACACACGTGACACACACAGACACACGTGACACACACAGACACACGTGACACACACACCAGCCGGTGCTCGTTTTAAAGCCGAGTCAACCTAGGGGAGGCAGTCGCAACAGACGGTCGCGAGGTAGCGAATAACGATGGCTGGGTTCGCAAGGCGCGCCGAATAGCAGACTCGGAACCGTTATTTATGCTGGAGGAATCCGATGAGCTATGAAGCTCTTTGTTTTTATCCGGCAGATGTCCAGTCGGGGCACGTGGGGTCAGAACGTGACGACGACGACGACGCTGCGGTTGCGACTTCATGGCGTGGGAACCCCGCCGAGTCCGCTCCCGAGTCTGCGAGGCATCCGTTCGCGAGTTCTCGCTATTGCGACATCGACATCTGTAACCCCCCCCCCCACCCAAAAAAAAGATAAAGGGAGCGCTTTATAGCTCATCGGATTCCTCCTCCTCCTCCTGTGTGAATACATATTCTGATTCCCGGACGTGCAAGCCCGGTCGCCCGCCTGTCTCTCTAAGTGACATTCGGCAACGTCGGGACACGCCCGAATAACGACACTTATCCGGACGTGACCTACACACACATTCGTGACGGCTGCAAGTGCAAACGCTGTACGTACACCTACACATGTACTGTATATATACACACGCGCGCGCGCGCGCGACTGTGTGTACGCGCGCGTGCGTGTAGTCGCTGCCGTGCGTGAGTGGGGAGCGGTGGCGCAGCGGTTAGCGCACCGGCGCGGCGAACCGGTTCGACTTGCGTGCCTTTAAACGAGCACGTGCTGCGCGGTGCGTCGTAACCATCGGCATTGGGGAGACAAAGGCGGCCGGGCGTGGTGCCGACCACCAACTCCGCCAACAGCACTCGCCGTGACAGGTCCGTCGAAGGCTACGCGTGGCACCTTTGTCCGCTGCCGCGAGATGTTGCCGCGTGTGTAGCGGCGAGCGGCGAGGAAGCTCCATCGCCTTCCTTTGTGTGCTCAAAACCTCGCTCGCTCGCTCGCCCGTTCGCGTCTCGTGGTGTGCAGCAACGACGCTGCGTGTACAGCAGCAGCAGCAGTAGCGGGGGCGACAGCAGCTTTGGCCGAGGGGCGGTGCGCGCGCGATTCCTCGGTGCTCGGAACGCAACGCTGGTGTCTGACCCCCCCCCCCCCCCCCCCCCATTTGCATGCAGCGCAGAGCCTCTCTCTCTCACCATCTCTCCCTCTCTCTCACCATCTCTCTCACCATCCCTCTCGCTCTCACCATCTCTCTCTCTCACCATCTCTCTCTCACCATCTCTCTCTCTCTCACCATCTCTCTCTCACCATCTCTCACCATCTCTCTCTCTCACCATCTCTTTCACCATCTCTCTCTCTCACCATCTCTCTCTCTCACCATCTCTCTCTCTCACCATCTCTCTCTCTCACCATCTCTCTCTCTCTCTCACCATCTCTCTCACCATCTCTCTCACCATCTCTCTCTCTCTCTCACCATCTCTCTCTCTCACCATCTCTCTCTCTCTCACCATCTCTCTCTCTCTCTCACCATCTCTCTCTCTCACCATCTCTCTCTCTCTCACCATCTCTCTCTCTCACCATCTCTCTCACCATCTCTCTCACCATCTCTCTCTCTCACCATCTCTCTCTCTCACCATCTCTCTCACCATCTCTCTCACCATCTCTCTCTCTCACCATCTCTCTCACCATCTCTCTCACCATCTCTCTCACCATCTCTCTCTCTCACCATCTCTCTCTCTCACCATATCTCTCTCACCATCTCTCTCTCGCCATCTCTCTTGCTCGCTCACAATCTCTCTCTCTCTCTCACCATCTCTCTCTCTCTCGCCATCTCTCTCACCATCTCTCTCGCTTGCTCTCTCTCGCCATCTCTCTCTCACCATCTTTCTCTCACCATCTCTCACTCACCATCTCTTTTGCTCGCTCACCATCTCTCTCTCTCACCATCTCTCTCTCTCACCATCTCTCTCTCTCACCATCTCTCTCACCATCTCTCTCTCACTATCTCTCTTGCTCGCTCTCTCTCACCATCTCTCTCTCTCACCATCTCTCTTTCGCTCTCTCCCTCCTGCAATTTCTCGCCTCCGCGCGCCGCGAGTGTGCGCGCACCAACAACAACAATAACAACCCCCGCCCGCACACCCCCCCCCCCCCTCCGTGTTCTCATAGAGGCAACATATGTTCGTTATCGTCCGCACCCGGGATAATCAATAACAATATGAATAACAACAATAACGATGAGGATAAAATACACACAGCAAGACATGGGGAAATATCTCCCGAATAGCCTTAAACAGACTGTTGGGGCAAGTGCTGTGAGCGAGTAGTACTTATTAAAGACAAAATATATTCCGGATAGCTATGAAGGCTAGTACCTATCACACACACACGCTGCCGACTGTTGCCCTTGCGCGCGTGTGTGTGTGTGATGAGTCGGGAGACCCCTCTCACAGGTCCAGAGCTACCACCACAGCAGGCACCAACAACAACGCTGCTCAACAACAACAACAACAGCCGCATGGACAACCGCGGAGTGGATGTTCTATGCGGCCGTTAGCGTTAGGAGCGCGTGAACGCGGCTCGGATCGCGTGAACGGGGCTCGGGGCGCGTGAACGGGGCTCGGATCGCGTGAACGGGGCTCGTGAACGGGGCTCGGGGCTCGTGAACGGGGCTCGTGAACGGGGCTCGGGGCGCGTGAACGGGGCTCGGGGCTCGTGAACGGGGCTCGTGAACGGGGCTCGGATCGCGTGAACGGGGCTCGGGGCTCGTGAACGGGGCTCGGATCGCGTGAACGGGGCTCGGGGCTCGTGAACGGGGCTCGGGGCTCGTGAACGGGGATGAGCAGCAGATCGACGTAACACGCGACACTCCCTTTCACTCTCCGCGCCCGCAACTCGGAATTAATTGTGGAGCGAGAGGAAGGCAGCGGACGGGGGCGCCGAGAGGCGTGTGGGGGGGTGCCGTGCATGGGGGGGGGGGGCGGTGTTGGGTTGGTGGGGGCGAGTGGGTGGAGGGTGGGTGGGTGTGAGAAGGGGTTGGGCAGTGTTCGTGGGGAGCTCGCTGGGGTAGAGGGGGGTTGGGGGTTGGTGGATGAAGCGGGGTGGGAGGAGGGGGGAGTCGTGAGACCACGTGACCGGCGCGGCTTCATCATCATCAGCAGCAGCGGGCAGGGCTTCGCGGGGCGGGGCTTGCCGGGGGGGGGGGATGAACCCCACCGCGTGGTGCCCCACACCCCCCCCCGGACACCCCCCCCCCCCCCAGCATCGCCACCAACCCCACGCCTCCCCCTACCCGCCCACCGAGCCACACGCAGCCAACACAGCCGCCGCACACACCTCCCCATCCACCGCGCACGGCCGCCTCGCTCCGTCTCTCTCCTCCCCCTTTCTCTCTCTCTCTCCCCCCTCCTCTCTCCTCCTCTCTCGCACACACCACACACACACACGAGAGAGAGAGCGAGAGAGCGAGAGCATTACCATCATCACCATCATCGCAGCCGCCGCTGCCGCCGCCCGTGCACACGGCAGCAGGAGCAGCAGCAGCAGCAGGAGCAGCAGCAGGAGGAGCAGCAGGAGGAGGAGCAGCAGCAGGAGGAGCAGCAGGAGGAGCAGGAGCAGCAGCAGCAGGAGGAGCCCTTCGCGAGAGGAGGACAAAAACGCGCGAGGTGAGCGCGGAACGCCGTCACTGCGGAGGGGGCGACACAGGAGGGGTGGGGGGGGGGGGGCTGTGGGGGGGTGGTGCCCCCCACCCGAGGAAAAAGGGGGGGGCGCCGCCGGGGAAGGCGTCGCGGTGACGAGCGGCTGTGGGGAGCGAAGAGGTGGAGGAGGTGGAAGAGGAGGAGGAGAGAGGGGGGTGGGGGGAGTCCGTGGTCTCTGTTTTCATGCGGGGCTATTTCAAGATGGCTGCGTGGCATGAATGCATGCGATTTAGAGAGAGGGAGCCAGAGCGAGAGGCAGGGAGGGAGGCGGTCTCGCTGCTACGATGATGATGCTGATGATGATGATTGTTGTGGTGGTGGTGGTGGTGGGTGCTGGGCGGACTGGTGCGAGCGGTGATTGCCAACACTCCCGCCTGAGTAGAGACCCAAAGCCAGCGGATTCTTCTCCCTCCATCTCTGTCCGCATCGCTTGCGTCTCTCCCCCCCCTCCATCACCACCACCGCTGTGTCGCGGATGGACAATGCTGGCGTGTGTTGTGTGTGTTGTGTGAGTGTGCGTGTTGTGTTGTGCGCGCGCACGTGTGTTGTGTGTGTTGACGATGGTGGTTGTGTTGTGCGCGCGCGGTGCCGTGTGTGTTGTGACTGGTCCGCGTGTGTGTGTGTATGTGCGAGTGTGTGTGTGCGAGTGTGTGTGTGTGAGCGAGTGTGTGCGTGTGTGCGAGTGTGTATGTGCGAGTGTGTGTGAGCGAGTGTGTGCGTGTGTGAGCGAGTGTGTATGTGCGAGTGCGTGTGTGCGTGCGAGTGTGTGCGCGCGAGTGTGTGTGCGTTCGAGTTGTGTGTGCGTGCGAGTTCGTGTGAGCGAGTGTGTGTGCGCGTGTGTGTGCGAGTTCGTGTGAGCGAGTGTGTGTGCGAGTGTGTGTGTGAGTGTGTGTGAGTGTGCACGATCGCGTGCGTTCGGTACCTAAACCTCTCTCGACCGCGCATTGCAGCTTCCACGATTCTCACGCGTTCGCAGCAAATTAGCGGCGTGCGTTGTGGTGGTGGTGGTGTTCGATATCGATGTGCATCGTTGTTGCCTGCTGTGCGTGGTCTACCCGAGTCTTCGGGATTCATCGTCGTCGTTTGTTTTTGGTGGAGTGTCGCCCGCGCTCGCCGTCATCGCTTGTCCGTCTCTGTGTGGGTGACAATCTCCCCCCAACACACGTGGTGGTGGTAGTGGTGGGAGCGCATTGACATTCACGCGTCAGTGTCCGTCTCAAAGGTCGGTACAGAGCAGGGGGGGGGGTGAGAGAGAGAGAGGGGGGGGTGGTGGTTAGAACCTCCGATTTAACCGGCATGAAATAAATTTAAATAAAATATCGACCGACCCGTGGGTTAACGCGGACACAGCCGAGCGAACAGTGAACACACACGAGCGGGATGGTGTACACACACACACGCGTGTGTGTGTCAGTGTGAGCTATTACAGCACTTGCCCCAACAGTCTGCAAAGGCTAGACCGGGGGATCTTTGCCTTTGTGTGTATCTGTGTGTGGTAGTGTAGTGCGCGCGGGAGCGGTGGTGCAGCGGTTAGCGCGCCGCGCTACACGAACCCGGCGACCCGAGTTCGAATTCCCGCTCACGGCCGCCAAAACCGCCGACGATTATCTGAACCGGTCTTCACCCCCCTAGGTCGACTCAGCCTCAAATGAGTACCTTGTGCGGTGTGTAGTAAACATCGCTACTGGGGAGACAAAGGCGGTCGGGCGTGGTGCTGGCCACCCACCCCCTCGTGTGCCTTGCCGGCCTTCATAGGTGCACGCTAACAGCACTTGCCCCAGCAGTCTGTTGCGGCTATACGGGGGGGGATCTTTATGTATTTTCGTGTGTCAGTCTTTGTGGCTGTGTTTGTGTGTATCGGTGTGCGTGTCTGTCTGCGCCTGTGTGTGTATCTGTGTGCAAATGTGTTTGCGTGTCTTTGAATGTTTGTGTGTGCTCCTGTGTGTAGGCGTGTCTGCGTCCGTGTGTGTCTGTGTCTCTGCCTATGTGTCCGTGTGTTTGTGCGTGTATGTATCTGTGTATGCGCCTGTGTGTGTGTGCATGTATGTGAGTGTGCGTCTGTATTTGTGTCGTCTTCATATGTATCTGTGTATGTATGTGTGTCTGTATCTCTGTGTGTGTCTGTCTCTGTGTATGTATCTGTGTATGTGTCTGTCTCCCTGTGTGTCTGTTTCTGTCTCTATGCGTGTCTCTCTGTCTGCTTGTATGTATCTGTGTATATGGCTGTGTATCTGTGTCTCTGTCTGCCTGTGTATGTATCTGTGTATGCGCCTGTGTGTATGCATGTATCTGTCAGTGTGCGTCTGTATCTGTGTGTCGCCTTCGTATGTATCTTTGCGTGCCCCTGTGTGTATCTGCGTATGTGTCTGTGTGTTTGTCTCTCTGTCTGTTTATCTGTCTCTGTGCGTGTGTCTCTGTGTATTTATCACTGTAGGCGCCTGTGTGTGTTTGTGTCGTATTCCTGTGTATCTGTGCGTGCCCCCTGTGTGAATGTATTTGTGTCTGTGTGTCTGTATCTGTGTGTGTGTGTGTGTCTCTGTGTGTGTGTCTCTCGTGTGTGTCTGTCTTTCTCGTGTGTCTCGTGTGTGTCTCGTGTGTGTGTGTGTCTGTCTCGTTTGTGCGTCTCGTTTGTGTGTGTCTGTCTGTGTGTCTGTCTCTCGTGTGTGTGTGTCTCTCGTGTGTGTGTCTCTCGTATGTGTGTGTCTCTCTCATGTGTGTGTCTGTGTGTCTCTCTCATGTGTGTGTCTGTGTGTCTCTCTCATGTGTGTGTCTGTGTGTCTCTCTCATGTGTGTGTCTGTGTGTCTCTCGTGTGTCTGTGTGTCTCTCGTGTGTGTGTGTATCTGTCTCTCGTGTGTGTCTCTGTGTGTCTCTCGTGTGTGTGTGTCTCTGTGTGTCTGTCTCTCGTGTGTGTCTATCTCTGTGTGTCTCTGTCTCTGTGTGTGTCTGTGTATGTCTGTCTCTGTGTCTGTGTGTCTCTGTGTGTGTGTCTCTGTGTGTGTGTCTCTGTGTGTGTGTCTCTGTGTGTGTGTCTCTGTGTATGTCTGTCTCTGTGTCTGTGTGTGTCTGTGTCTGTGTCTCTGTGTGTGTCTCTGTGTCTCTGTGTCTGTGTCTCTGTCTGTGTGTCTGTGTGTGTCACGAAAGTTGTCTCTCTCTCTCTCTGCGCACCCGCCGGCCGGCCACTTCGCTGCTTTTCCCCTTTCGGGAGTTTGCGCGTCGAGAAAATGGCGGAGTCGGTTCTCATTTCACGCGAATCGCAGGAGACTCGCTCGCGCGCGCGATGGTAACGCTACGCACAACAACAACAACCGCAAAAAACAACAGCAACCAACACACACACACAACCACATCACCACCAACCCTGCTTGCGGATGCTAAGAGAACTTCTCCCGCGCGCGAGAAAGAGAGAGAAAGAGAGAGAAACCCGCACGGCGCGACATTTTCGCCGCTTTTCCCTCTTCCACACCCACCCCTCTCTCTCTCTCGCCGCGGCATCGGACGTGGCACGCGATTACCGCTTTACTTGTACATTTACTCACCACGCCACACACACCAACATCACACACTACACACCACACACACACTACGCCGCATGCGTGTATAGTCGTGTGGCGAGTGTTCTACCAAAGGGATACTCCGCGAACTTTGTCGACATTTTCGCCCGCCGCAGTCGGCGGCAGCTGTAGTAGGGATCGTTGTACGATAATCAGCGGACTAGTCGGTGTGGCGGTGTGAGTTTTCTTTCGTGCAGATGCCTAGCGAACAAACGTCTTGACGATAACCGTGCAGCAAAAATAAACGCGCGGCACTTTGCAGATGATTGCTCATCTCGCACGGAGTCGGAGGCAAACTTGGTGTTGACTGGAAGTCTTTCTCAACAGCCCAAGTTGAACTCATCATCGGTTAGGCGTGGTGGTGGTGTTGGTAGTGCGAGTTTTATTTCGGGCAATGTCTACCGAATCACCGTCTTGCCCTTAACCGTGAAACAAAAATAAACGCGCGACACTTTGAGGTGTTGTTTGCTCACCCACGCACGGAGGTAAAAACTCCGTGGGGACTCGAGTCTTCTAAACAACAGCCAGGAGTCTTCGTCACGTCGTGGTGCGTCGCAAATATATCTTCTCATCGCGATTAATTTTCGGGGTTTGCCTCGTTGCTGTCGGCGATTTTCGTTCCGGATTTAGCAGCAGCAGCAACAATCCACGTTTAATGATCACGCGCGCGTGTTGTGTGCGTGAGACGCGCCGCGCTATATACGAACGCGGCAGTCACCGGGTTCGATTCCCGCTCACGGCCAACACCGCTGACGATTATCTGAACTCGTGATGAGCCTCCCCCCCCCCTAGGTCGACTCGGCCTCAAATGGGTACCCGGTGTCATGTGTAGTAAAAATCATCGCCGCTGGGGAGAGAGAGAGAGGCGGCCGGGCGTGGTGTCCCTGGCTTCATATGTGCGACTCGCTAACAGCACTTGCCTCCGAGGAGTCCGTTTAGGCTGCACGGGGAGTATACCTTTGTGTTAGTTGTCATTTGAGACGAACTTCTTGCTGCTCGTTTGTGTTCGTGAAAGGGGGGGGGCCGGGGGGGGCCCGGCTTGTGCATCCGATTTAAGGAACGCGGTATTTTCTGGAATACGATTCGCCGCTGTTGCGCTTACTGTTGATTGCCCCACGGTTGTTCCCGACACGTGCGAGTGAGTGCGTGTGTGTCTCTGTTGTGGGGCAAGTGCTGGTAGCGAGTTACATGCTATGCCGTGGAGATCGTTGTCTTTTGGTGTGTCCGTGTGTGTTTTTTACCGTCTCTTACTTACCTGGCGGGGAGCGGTGGTAGTCGTGTGTGTGTGTCGGTTAGCGCGCCGCGTTGCGAGTTCGATTTCCGCTGACGACCACCACCACCAACTCCCGCTGACGATTTATCTGAACCGGTCCTGGGCTTTCTCCGAGGTCCAATCGGTCTCAAATGAGTACCTG